CCCTCCGGAAGGAACATGGTACTGGGTCCCCGCTTACAGGTGGGCATTGGGGAGGAGAATGGCTAAGAGGCGGCCCGTGGACTCAGGGCCCCAGTTCCTCACCACTGCCCAGTGTGAGGAGCCGGTCTGGGCAGCTCTGCACCCAGGGATCTGGGGAGGGACAGAGGGCTGGAAACTTGTCCCCCAGGGGGTCACTGCCGTGCAGCTTGTCCAGCCTAGTGGGAGGCCAGGAGTGTCTTCTTGTTTGGGTTTTGGGTTCTGACAGGCTGTTTTTCAAGACCTTGTCGGCATGCGGCTGCCGGGGGAGGGGGTGCCAGTCTCTGACAGCGAGCTTTACCCCGGGCTCTGCCAGCAGAAGGGGCCACGGTCAAGGAATTCTTACACGACTCTGGGCTTGTCCCCTGAGAGAGGGACCCTGGGGAGGGTGGGCTGAGGACGCAGATGCCAGGGTTTAAAACGGGGCCAACGCCTTTGCCAACCCTGCACCTGAACTGGAGGTTGGGCTGAAGTCAGGTGAGGACATCAGCTGCTGCCCTGCCCCTGCCCGAGCCCCCCACGGCCCTCCTCCAGGCCCCCGTCTCTGATTTCAGCTTCGCCTCTGCTCTGTCTCACGGCTCCTGGGAGCCTGCCCTCCGAGGCTGCATGAATAATAGAACTGAAATCATCCCTAGTTAAAAATAGAGATTCTTCTTAATAAATATTTTACATACCGTCTTTAGGATACGCAGATCCCCTGACGGAAGAGTTGAAGCAAACCCAGTTATGGAACCCAAGGTAGGTAGGACGGGCTGGGCCCGGGCTCGGCCCATATGTCCCCATGGCCATGGCGCCTGCCTCGGATCCACCCGTCCTCAGTGACGTCCGGAGCAAACAACCCACACTCAGGAAGACAGAACTATAGCAGGGAGCAGCTTGGGGGTTCTTGGGTGCGTTAGTCACCTCTGAATTTTATGGAGGCTGATGAGTAACCCATGCCCCTTGGTTAGTGAGGTTTGGAGTTCAGAAAAGCCAAAAGCAGGTTCTTATGTTCCCACTGTGGGGAAGCACTTCTACCATGAGTGGAAGTAGCCCGGGTATCTGGGGGCAGCCCTGCAGGGACAGAAAACCCTGGGTGGGGAGGCGGGAGGTCGCTGGCCCACTGCAGAAAACTTTGCAAGTGCAGTTCAGCCTTGAAGGTCTGCCTTAATCAGACATGATCTGTTTACAGCAAGTGAACCCGAGTGACCCACAGAATGGCTCCCAGCTGTGACCACCTCCTCCTGGAAGACAGGGGCAGGCAGGAAATTCAGGTCTGCCCAGCACACAGGCCACCTCAAAGTGACCCCCACTGTGCAGGCCCTGAGAGAATGGTGTCCTTACAAAATGGGACAGGAAACTGAATATTGGAGGGGCAGAGTGTCTGAAGCCAGGACAGATGATGCAAAGGGGGCTAGGGGCCCACGTCTCAGCATTGGTCCCTCACTGAAATGGCAACTCCACACCTCATCTGGTTTCATTGAACTGAGAGCAGAGGCCGTTTCCTGGGAGGTCCACCCCACATCCTGGATAGCACGTAGAGTTCCAGGTTGTCTCCCTTCAGAGGGAGCTCCTTGAGCACCTGACTTAGAGCTTCATGTTGTTGCATGTGTGGATGGATGAGTGGGTGGATGGGTGGGTGCATAGATGGGTGGATGGATGGTGGGTGGATGGATGATGGGTGGATGGGTGGATGGGTGGGTGGGTGAATGAATAGGTGGATGGGTGGATGGATGGATGGTGGATGAATAGATGGGTGGATGGATGAATGGATGGATGGGTGAATGGATACATGGCTGGCTGGATGGGTAGATGGATGGTGGATGGATGGTGGGTGGATGGGTGGGTAGATGGATGGATGGATGGATGGGTGGATGGATGGGTGGATGGATGGTGGATGGATGGATGGGTGGATGGGTGGATGGATGGGTGGGTAGATGGATGGATGGATGGGTGGATGGATGGATGGGTGGATGGATAGATGGGTAGATGGATGGATGGATGGATGGTGGATAAATGGATGGGTGCATGGATAGAAGAAGGCATATCATACCAGATTCCAAAAGGAAATTGATCACAGAATAAGAATGGGAGCTCCGTCACCCCTATAACTCTACCATTGATCACGTAGGTCCTAATATGCTTTTACTCTTCTTCTCCTGCTGCCCTCTATCTGTTGCTTCCCAGTTACTGAGTTCAAAGACAGGGCTTGGGGAGCAGAGAGAAGGAGGAGGATGGGCCCAGGCCTTGGGAGGATGAATGGTAGAAGTCCAAAGACCAGATGTGGGCCGCTCCCACCTGGTCCACCTCAAGAGCTTGTGAGGATGGACTACGTGCTGCTGTCAGCGGGTGAGGGGCACGTTAGGATGATGGGATGTTTTGGGATGGTGCTTGAATGTCAGGCAATCAGAGCTCGGCACCCACTCAGGCTCACATCGGGCGAGGCTTTGTGGGGATTACAAAAGAAGTAAAAAAAATAAAATAAAGACATTCGATTCTTTCAATAGAAAGGAGTAAAAAAAAAAAATCTATGCCACTATGCCTGTACTGTTTTACGCTTTTTTATTTTGGATGATATAAGGGGAGAAAATCATGAACTGTTTTCATTTCTCTGTGATTGAGCAAACTCTTAAAATATTAAACTATTGCTTAATAATTGATTAAAACTAATCTCAGTGAGAGCTAATCTCCCATTTGGCAGGATCTGTTTAAACTTTTAGGGGCTTTTAGCCCCCCCGGCTGGCTAACTGCTCTCTTGTCTGATTCATTCAGGGCTCAGCAGACATTTGCCGCTTGCGGATTTATGCCATTGTGCCGCCATTGAGCCGTGGGACGGCTTCAGAAGAGGGAGAGCCCTCGAGATGCTGTGTCTGAAAGGGGGTTCCAGGAGGAGGGGAGAGGTCAGAATGTCTGTGGGTGATTACACCACGATCTCTAAGCTACAGGATGGGAACCAGAGATAATGGCTGTGTGGTCTTCAGAACCACTAAGGCTGTCTGTGACTTTTTTCTAGAGTGACAATTTTGCTTTCCTCTCTGTTTTTCACAGGGACACCAAGGCCATCGAGTAAAGTGGTTAGAATGTGGGCTCAGGCCTCAGGCTGCTTGGGTCCAACCCTTCCCAGCAGGTGACTTAATGTGCGATCTTGGAAGAGCTTTTCTCTCTATGCCTCAGTTTCCTCATCTATAAAGTGGGAATAATCCTAGAGACCCTTTCCTGAGCAGGTTAGGTTAGACATTCTCAGCGTTAGCCAGGGCTGGGGTGGGCTTCATCGCCGTCACTATGCTCTGTAAGAACAAAAGGAGACTCTGATTTAAAACAGCTGCTTTGAGTTCCGTAAGAGAAAGAGCGTTGCGTGAATAGCCAACGTCCCCCAAACTAAGAACAGCCTTGAAGAGGTATTTACACACCTGAGTGGACAGCAGCGTTGCTTACAATTGCCCAGACGTGGAAACAACCTAAGCGTCCGTCGTCAGGTGAGTGCATGAAAACAATGTGGTTTATCCACACAATCGAATATCATTCAGCCTTAAAATGGAAGGAAATTCTGACACATGTACAATGCTACAGCCTACAATGCACTTGAGGACATTATGTTGAGTAAAACAAGCCAGTCACAAAAGGACGTGCACTGTATGATCCTACTTAGATGAGCTGCCTGGGGAGGTCAAGTTCATGGACACGGGAAGGAGCAGCGGGGGAGCCAGGGGTGGGGGAGGGGATGGGGACAGAGTTTCAGCCCGGGAAGATGGGGGGCCCTGGGGATGATGGTGGTGACGGCTGCATAACAGTGTGAATGTGCTTAATGCCGCTGAACTGGACAACTTAAAAATGGTTAAGATGGTAAAGTTTATGTTATATTTTACCACAATTAAAAATAATGATTAAAAACAGAATGAACCACACCTCCCCCTGTCATGAGTGTGTCACCTCCCGTTGGGACCAGACCTCCTGTGCTATCTGTGGACGGTAGCAGCTGCCCTCCGCAGCTGTGCACAGGTGGGGCAGGGTCCGCTCATGAGAGCTCAGCAGGGACTGTGGGACCCCCTCCCTACCTGCTGGGTCACCCACACACCAGAAAGCATCAAGTGCCCCCAGCTAGATAAGCTGACCTCACCCTTGTATACTGTCGGTGGGATGGAGACGGCTCCAGCCTCTTCGGAAGGGACTCCCTGGGAAGATGGATGGGAAACCCCCCAAATGTGCCCAGGCCAGAGCCCCTGAGGAGTGGAGATGGAACCCTGCCTGGGCCTCGCTTAGCCCTCTACTCATTCTTCTGGGTCCCGTGAGCTGGCATCGTCATTCGGGGCTGGAACACAGTCGGGAAGAGGGAGACGGGGCCTGGACCCACGCAGCCCTGTTAGTCCCCCACCTCCAGGACACAGGCAAAGGTAGTGACTGGGCTTTCCTCCCCAGACACTGTCAGCGGTGACAGGAACGCCTGCCCGTCGATAGAGCTCGCGGCTTAGACGGCACTGCCTCACATTGATGTCCTTTGTCCCTAACCCCTAGCCCATCCTCTCACTGTGGACTTCTCCGTTTAAAAGGCCAAGCCAAGGTCACCTTCTCAGGGACGATGGGGACACCCTGCGTGGCGAGCCCCCAGACTCAGTGGTGGCTGAGGGGCCTCCGCCAGGAACGCTGGAGCAGGGCCAGGTCCCCTGTCCCTTCCCTCCTGCTCTCAAGCAGTGTGTGCACCCGCGCTTTTAAAAATCAAATTTAGATAAAAGTCAAACCGTTCAGAGAGGGTGATAGAGAGCCCCCCGCCTCCAGCTCCTCCTTTCCCAGCCACCAAGGCAACTGCTTGTAACGCACCGTTTTCACTTTTTGTTTTTATGGCGGTCACCACCACGCAGCTAAGAAATAAGCTCATGGCGCCGGCTCTTGATCCGCTTTAGAGATTATCTTTTGACTTCCTGCTGTGCTGGCTGAGGCTTTGGCCCCTTCACCCACCACGACCCCCACCTCCCCTCACTGTGCACGGTGCTGGACCCGTCTGCAGCCTCTCTACCCTCCTGGGAGAGGGGGACACACCAGCTTCTGCGTCGCTCCGGTCTTGTACCAGGTGGGTGGTCTCTCCCGCCTCCGAGGTTCCAGGCTGCTGGCAGGACCTCTGGCCGAGCTGGACTCAACTGGGCCCTCCCCTCGCCAAGCTCCTCCACGTTTTTCTTTGCTTTGTGGGACCAGGCCTCCCTCCTGGGCACTCCTTTTCCCTGCATCTTAATTGCTTTTCCTTCCCTTTTGGGGGAAGAAGCCCCTCCTGACCCCCTCTCCTCCCCGTTACCCTCTATTTATGGCTGGGGCTCTGTCTATTCTTCTCCTCAAGTCTCAGACCACAGGCTCCAGACTTGGACCCAGACCTTTTCAGGAGCAGACATTTGTTATCTGGAGCTCTGGCCGCTGCATCCAGAGCTTTGCTCTGGAGTCGCTGTGTCACTCTGGTGTCTTGGGCCTTCTCAGTCATGCTGAAGCTTTTGTCCAGTCTCGGGAGGTATGCTGTCCACCTTGGGAGGCAGGGCTGGAGACAGCAGGCCCGGTGGGAGGTGAGGACATGCTGTGCTTCAGGACAGAGGCCAGCCGAGAGCCCCTGGGTGCCAAGGGCGTGAGGGTTCCCTGGGAGCCACCTGCACAGGCCTCAATGCTTTCACTTGCAGACGGGAAGCTAAGCTCCTGGGGGACAAGTGGTTCGTCCAAGGTCACACGGCAAATAAGTGGCCAGGCCCTGGTCCTCTCAGTCAAGCATCCAGGTCCCTCTGCTGGGCCACAGCCGCCCTATGCTACCACCCGCCTCCCTTCCTCTGAGCCTCAGCGCCGAGACCCACCAGCCCTTTGGTGTCCAGGCTCCCGTCCGCACTTACATCTGTGCCGTCCAAAAGCCCTTTCACACACGCACGCACGCACGCACACACGCGCATGCACACGCACACGCACGCGGGCATAATGGCGCCTGCAGGTGGGCAGGGCAGGGCTCATAATCTCTGCAGAGAGGCACGAAAGGTGAAACAACCTGTCCCCGGGCACACGGCAATACCCTGGGAGGCCAGGGCTCCAGCCCAGGCCCTCCTCTTCTCCCAGGACCCCCCTCCCCCGCTGCACACCTCAGCAGCCCCACAGAGGATGACGCTCTCCCTGACGCACTCCGTTCTGCCTCTGCCCCCAGCAAACCCTGACGTGGAAAACGGACGGGGCTGACTTGGATGCTTGCCACCCCCCTGCCCACACTTCCAGGAGCTCCTCCTCAGAGAGCACCCCCCTTGTGGGCAGGTGCTGAGGCCCCTGGAGAGGAAGGCGAGGCCCCTGCCCCAGGGAACATGGAGTCTGCAGGAGGAGGCTGGCCTCCAACAGGCGGAGGAGCAGGCGGACATGCAGAGGGACAGCTGAGAGGTGACGCTAAGATGAGACCTGAGCAGGTAAGCACGAGTTCTCGAGGTGAGGAAGCGACTGGGAGATTCTTCTATGTGAGTTCAGCATGGCCAGGGGCCAGGGGGCCAGACAGCGGCGGGTGGGCAAGTTGGGGTGAGGGAGTTGAGCAGCGGAGGGAACCGGCAGATCTGAGTTTTCTGCGGGATCGTTCTGGCTTAGGGGGAGAATGGGCCTGGGAGTTGTGTGGGGCAGCCGAGGAAAGTGCGTAAGAGATGGCGCCTGAGGCCTGGGCCCAGGACCTAACACCCCACGGCAAGCGCTCGCGTGGTTCTGCTTGCCGGTCACCTGGCTGCACGTTGGCCACTCTTAGAAACCGATTTGAACTCTGTCAGGCCAGGAGTTGCTCAAGCAATTTCCTCGATTCCCACCTCTGCAGAGAGGCTCTGGCTCATTCGGTTTTTTCGCCGGGAGAGCCAGGTGAGGCCATCCTGTCCCTCCCGAGAGATAGGAGTGTGCTGTCCAGAGGGGCCCTTCTGTGACTCAGGGCTAAGCTAACGGCACACTTGGGAATACATCCCTTAAGTTTGGCTGGCACTAGGTTACCAAAAGCCTATTTTCTGGATTTTAGAGGGTCTGAAGCTAGAAAATGCTGAGTTGAGCATGTACTTTGGTCACGTCACTAGCATCCTGGGTCATGAGAGCAACACCGTCACACACTCATGCCAGGACCAGATGAGCCACCTGATGGAGAGTGATTCCAGACCCTGTGTTCTTGTGGCTTCTGACTCTCTGCCTGTGGAGAGGTCTCCAGGGCCAGGAGCTGTGGGAAGCTTCGGGAAAGCGGGGACAGTGCGGCTGCAGTCTAATCGCCCAGAGAGCACTTTATGTACCAACAGCCATAGCAAAGTGAATACACTGTGACAAGGGGATGACTGGTCACGTGAGAGAATGGCTGTGCAACGAAATTCTATGCACACTGAAAACACGAGTCCTTTGTGGAGAATTTGAAATAATATGAAAACACTCGTGTGAAATCACAGGGTACCAACTTGTAAATATCGCATGAGCACGTCCTCATCGGACCCACAATGAAGATACTGCTCAATGCACAATAAAAAGACCAAAGAGGTCACCAAAATGTGGACACCGCTTGTTCCTGAGCGGAAAATTATGGGTGATTTTTTTTTCCCTTTTATTTTTTTTTCAAATTCCAAATCTTCTATAATAAGCAGTGATATGATTGCAAATCCCTTGAGGTCAGGGAGGAACTGTGTCACCCAGGTGTCACCCAGGTGTCACCCTGGTGTCCCCAGTACCTAGCACAGTGCTGGACCCATGTCTGTTGCACGAATACGTGAGTATTGCATTCACAATGGTGAGAATGCAATGTCCTTTATTTAAGTAAAAACAGTAACTTTCTCGGGCAGGCCAGGTTGGCGTCACACAGAGAGCCGGGTTTCTAAACACACCGGCCCGTCCATAGGGCTCTCCTCGGGGCCTCACAACCCAGGCCCTGTCGCGGGCTCACTGCCCATCCGTCGTCTCCAGAGGAAGAGGCACCTCTGCTCCCTGGCACCCGTCCCCTCCCTCCATGCTCCCCCCCTCCCCCATCAGAGCTGCACTTCTAAGCAATGGCATGGGTTTCAGAGCAAAGACAAGCTCCAGGCAAATAGCCTAGAAGACGCAGGCTAGAAATCTCCACACTGAAGTGGATGCCTCAAACAATCCGATTTTGCCAATTACGGGAGATCCGAGTCCCCGGGTGTCTGGGAGGAGAGCTATGGGCTGGGGCCCCCCTGCAAAGGGGCTGTTGGCATTAGGGGGCAGGTGGGCAGGCGCACAGGCCCGCCTTGAGGGGACCGGCCGTGGGGACTCAGAGTCCCATTCCGTGACCTGGCCCCGTCGTTCCTTCCGCACATCAGGTGCTTTCTCTCATGCTGCCTCGCGGGGTTCACTTATTAAAGCCGGCTCGCAGAATTTCAGGGTGGCCTTCCATCCTGCCCTTTATTTTCGAGGCAGGGGGCAGATGACCTGTGTGAGACTGGCTCTGGCCACGCGTGGCTCTCTGGGGGGCCCTGCTGGTGTGTGGAGCAGAGTCTCTGCACTAGCCAGGGGCGTCCAGAGAGACAGAACCGATAGGATGTGTGTCTGCATCTGTGTCTGTGTCTGTACACGGAGAGAGGCAGAGGGATGGATTGATTTTGAGGAGTTGGTTCACACAAATGTGGGGCCAGCACACCTGAAGCCTGCGTTGCTGGAAATCCCGGCAGCAGCTGATGTTGCAGTCGTGAATCCAAAGGCAGCCTGAAGGCAGAGGCCCTTCCTTGACTTCTGGGGACCTCGGTCTTCTCTCTTAAGGCCTTCAACTGGTTTAATGAGGCCCACCCTCATTACAGAGGGCGAGCAACTGTGCTGAAGCCTCTTGAGTTCGTTGTGAATCCCCTCTGGGGACTTCCTATCCAGCGACATCTAGACGGGTGTCTGAGCAAGCCCCTGGCCACCGTGGCCCAAGCAAGTGGACACAGAAAAGAAAGCATCTCGCAGGAGCTGTGTGTGCATCGTGGGGTGTTTGGTACCCCTTGGCCGCTGGCCACTCTGTGCTGTAGTGTCCCCAGACATCTGACAACCAAAGAAAATCCCCTCCCCACTTCTGAGCGATCCCTGCATGGGGGGCGATGGGGAAGGCTCTCCTGAGGAAAATCCCTCAGGGCAGGTGCTCAGAGAGCAGGACGCCACCTGGGACCCTCAGGCCACTGCTCTGGGCGCCAGGCTCCAGGCCCTGACTAGCTTGCCACTTAACTGGGGGTTAGATGCGTGCAGCTAATGGCACGCCTCCTCGTCTGTGTCCCCCAGAGCACAGGATGGGCCCTGAACACCCGTGACTTCCCACCCCGTGTCTGATTTCTCTGATGATCAGTCTAGGGCCCCGGCTGTGGCTGTCTTAGAAGAGTGGCCACGTAGTGGCCTTGGAAACAGCCCCCCAAATCCGAGATGTCTGTAAAGTTAGAGATCATTCAGGGCCCAGTGCCCGGGGACAGTACGTGGTTAAAATAGAGGTGTTTCATCTTGTCCCCAAGTGTGAAACTGAGATGAGGAATGCTAATTAGTGAACCCTCCTGACCCCAGCGCCTGTCCTTTAGAAAGCGTGATGTCTGCCGCTTGGGGTCAAGGCGGACAATATGGGGCCTGTTGTTTAACCCTTGGTATTTGCGGGCTTTGGTCAGTCCACAAATCCCCAGTCTCAAATTTGCTCCAGTAAATGCTATGCCCTTTTCAGAGGGCTGTCAGGCCTAACAGCTGCCACCGTGTTCCCTCATTCCTGTCCCCCAGGGAGCCCTGCAGCAGGCAGCCTGCCAGCACACTGGGGGTGCTCTGAGGACAAGCCCAAGGGTGCCAGACACAGTAGCACCCCCTTTCTCTCCCAGCTTGGCCTGACTGCCTTGGTCCAGAGCCCCAAACCCAGTCCAGGGGTGGCTCTGAGCCTACGTGCATGCCGGGGAGAAGCAAATGGGGTGCTCCAGCATTGGCAGTTGGGGCCTGGCTGGATGTGTCCGGAGTGGGGAGAAAGGCGGGAAGGGCGTTTGCACGGGGAGTCCGGCTTCTCCGGCTTGGCTGAACATTTCCGTCCCCTGCTGAGACCTGACCCACCGGCCTCACCACCGCCAGCGCCGTCCAAAGGGGAGGGGAGGCCAGCAGGACAGGAACAGGAGATGAAGAAGAGAGTCCCAGTCCACAGTTCCAAGTGGGACACGGGCAGGCCTGGACTCCAAACCCCCGTGACCTAATAAGCTGGTCTGCTTTCATATCTTATACGTCACTCGCTGCATCAGGCTATCTGTGCCAATTGTCTCATGTACAGAGCAGGGCGGCAGCCGGCTCCGCACGCTTCACCCCTCCCCTCTGTCCCCGTTCCCATCTCACAGTCATGCCAGCCCTGTGCCCACCTTTAGACTAGGGCTCGAATGGGTAAAAAGCACCTCAAATGTCGTCTCTAAATTCAGAGTCATACCAGCACACAGGTCACACGTAGAACGGCACTCTAGCCCTTCTACGTGGTTGTCTTTCTGTAAAAGTGTGTCTTTTTTTTTTCTTAAGCTGAGCCATCCTGCCACCTGTTGGCAGCTCAGCGGCAGCTCAGCTTGGGCCGGGAATCGAACTGCTGTTGCTCAGAGCTCAAACTCTTAAGTGAGCTCTTAATCAACTGAGCCACTCAGCCGGCCCTAAGTGTGTCTTTTTTAAGGTTATAATTGGCCATTTTATTGAAATCACTGCCATAGGTATCTGAGTGCCTGCGAGTCACTCATCTGTACTGACGACGGGGATTATGGGTCGAAGACACAGTACCTGCCCGCTACAAGTCGCGGTCGTGTCGAGGGTATCTGGGTCCTGTAGGTTATGGTGGCGCCTTATGTATTTGACATTTCAAGGCTAGCGTCTCCCCTCACATACAACCTGACAGGCAAAGGCACCCGATAACAAACGCCTTTGTCTGGGCTTGGGGTGTTGGTGCGACCGCGGAAGATAAGGCCCAGGGAAGACCCACGAGTCCCTCAGGGTCCCAAAGTGATGCGCCGTATTAGCTGTGCTGCCTAAACCTCCTGGCAGTCGTGGGAGAGGATGTCTGGTCTCTCTGGACGCTGAGGAGGTAGCAAATCTTCTTTTGATGGATTAACGGATCTAAATGTCACGAGGGCTCCTAATTTACAGCCTCCGTTCTAGCCTGGCCTCTGCAGCCTGGCAGGATCTTAGAGAAGAGTCCCTGGGCAGCAGGGTCAAGCGAAGGCTGTTCTCTTAAAGTGAGAGGAGAACGCTGTGACGGTGCAAGAATGTCATGAATGGCGAGCCATGTGCAGCGACCGCGAGGAGGGAGGTCAGCCCGAGGAGACAGCGCTCCGCCTCGTGGATCCAGACACTCAGGCTTAGAGCTCAGTCTCCGGGGAATCGACTCACGCTGACGCACTCACAAGAGACTGAATGGTGAACCCACATGGCAGCGTGCTTCGTCCCAGTGGGAGGGAGGCTTCCGGCTCCACAGCCAGGGCCTGTG